AGAGACCAATGAAATAACGAATGTGTCAAAGACTGCCACATGTCGGGAGGCTGTGACCTCTGGGAAGACAGAGGGACCGCGAAGGGAAGCCGGGGGTTTCCCAGGAGCTGAGACACCGTTCCATTTCCTGACCCAGGTGGACATGCAGAGCTTGCTTCTTATTCTCTAAACTCTTCCGTGCCCTCTTCTGTAGGGAGAGAGGCTGGGCCCAGCCAGTAGCTGACTCGTCTGGAGTCCCAGGCACGCTGGACCTTCAGAGCTCCAAAGAAGGTTCCGGCAGCCTCAGAAAAAGGCCTAGGAATATGTAATACTGCATTGTGTATTATTACATAATTACATACACAGTATTCCACATACAGTAAGCATACTGTATTATATATTACATAATATACAGTATTATAGTTATATTTATATATAATTGCATCATATATTTACATGCATCTATTACAAATATATATACTTCACCGTATTATAGGTTATGTAATTACATATACAATATTATGTATAATGCTATCCTGTATTGTTCCATAATTACATGCATAGTATTACATATATAATACTGCACTGTATTATGTTACCTAATTATATATATACACAGTATTCCATATATAGTAATTACATATGGCATTTTATACAGAACACTTCATTGTATTACATATCATTACATTACATATACAGTATTATATATAATACTGCACTGTATTATACTACATAATTACATACAGTATTATGCAAATAACACACTATATTATTATCTAATTATATATACCAAATTATATATACAGTAACATGGCACCATATTACATATTATTAGTTACATATACAGCATTATATATACAATACTGCACCTTATTACATAGTTACATTATTACATATACAGTAACACCATAGTGTATATTTGAAAGCTGCTCAGAGTACAGCTTAGCGGTCCTCACCACCAGAAAACAATTTGTGAAGACAGATGTTAAGCAGACTTCCCGTGGTGACCATTTTGCAACATATATGTGTGTTGTTGAAATTAACAGAACACCATTTATCAATTACATCTCCATAAAAACAAAAAGAAGGTGTCTGGGTCCAGTGGTGGGGGCAGTCTTCTTCACGAGCTCTCACCACTGCTCCTCCCCTGGCAGTGACCCCTGCACAACTGCCCTGGGAGGGTAGCCCCAGCCCACAGGCTCAGCTGTATTAGCCCCAGGGAGGGAAAAGAGTGAAGGGCAGGAACAAAGGGCCAGAAAGCGCTAGAGAGCTTCAGGTGCTCAGGAAATCCGGTGACCCCCAGGGTCTCCCCTCAGCCTTCCTTGTGGATCTGTGTTATGCAGGGAGCACTGGCACTCCTGTGAGGACGGTCAGTCCTCCTGCATGGGCTGGGTCAGGGACCATGGCCACCCACCAGACCTTGTGCCCATCCATTAAGTAGCCATCAGCTTTGTCAGCAGTGATACAACATGCAGGGCGACGTGGCACCACAAAGCCTCATGCGCCAGAGGATGCCCAGGGCATGTGCGGAAAGTAGGGGAGGGATTGTCTGGGGTGCTGGCATACGGACTGTGCAGTGGACAGAGGATTTAATTGTGTCATCAACTGAGGACATGACTCCTTAACCCCCCTTTCCTAAGGTCCAAGTATTACCTTTGGCGTGTGCCCTGATGCCAAGAGCTGGGGGCCCCTCTTTGAGTCAGCATCTCACTTCACATCCCAGAGAGGTCATTCAGGGTTTGAAGCTGGTGCCACTCCTGGCCCCCAACACCCTGCTGCCCCTATTCCAGTTTATGGTACGGTGCGGACCATCTTGCAAAACACTATGCTCAGTAAAAGAAGCTAGTCACAGGTCACTTACCGTGCTTTCACTTACAGAAAATGTTCACAACAGGTAAATCGACAGACACAGCAAGTAGATGAGCGATGGTCTAGGGCTGGGTCAGAGAGAGTGACTGCCTACTGGTAACTAGGTCTCCTTTTGGGGTGATGAAAATGTTCTGCAACTACATAGTGCTAGACAGCATAACATTGGGAATAGATTATAAACCACTTTCAAGCGGTCAAAATGTTGAATTTTATGTTAACTAAAAAAAAAAAAAAAAAAATCGACCTACAAAATAATGAAAATACATTCTTTCTGGGGCCCCTCCCCAGAAAATCGAAGCGGGGAGGCAGGGTAGCAACCCGTTTTAAGGTACCTGTTAAAGTCTAAGAACCACTCAACTGTCCCAAGCTTACCAGAGCGTAACCATATGCGGATCCCAGCCCTCACTGTGGCCACCATCCCATTTCTAGGTTAAGGGTCCCTTCCAAGGCACTCTGGTGCACAGCCCCTCTCCCCCTTACTCCAATCACAGATGGGTACCACCTTGCCCAGGGAGGTCTCCCAGCTCCCAGGCCCAGCCAAGTGCACCTCATTACCCTAAGGGAGGATCTCCACATATCCACAGAATGCAGTGAGAGCCCAGGACCTGCCAGTGAACCCTGGGGTGGGTGCTCCCCAAGGCTGGGCCCTGCTGTGGATCCTATGGGCTCCCATGCAGGGAACAAGGCCAACAGATTCTCTCCAACCCTCCCCTCATCAGATGGCAGCCCTCGACCTGGCTAGAGACCCCCATTTTGAGTTTGGAAGGTAGCCCCAGACCTCTACGCAATAAGAAGGTGCCACAACCCACACTAGGTACTGGTCACTCTGTCCTCCGCCAATCGACAGGACTGTGTGTAGCGGGGAAATCCTCAAGGAACAGCAACTGGGAGGGGCTGAGGGCACCACACAGCCCTGGGGTGGTCCAAGGAACATGGATTCCACTATGACCTTGGGGTCCTGGAGGCCCTGCACCTGCTGGCCTGGCCCACCCAAATCTCCTCAGGGACTGCAACTACCCCCTGACCTGCATCCCTGCTTCTCCATAAACATTTCCCACATTTTTGTATTCTTAGCAAGGACTCAAGGTGGGGTGGTGAACTCTGGTCCCAGCCACTTCATGATTTATGGGTGACTTTCTCTAGGCACCCTCCACATCCCCCCGACCAGGAGCTCACCTCTGTTGAAACCCACCTGGGATGAGCTGTGGAGCTCTGGGAGTGTCGTGCGTGGCCTCCATCAATATCACCTCCTCCTCTCCACCCACCTGGAACACAGGACGGTGTGTCCGCTGCACTCCTGCACACGGGAGCTTGGTGAACCCTTGAAAGCCACGAGGCTCAGGGGCCTGGGGTGCACCAGAGGCAGTGGGCGCCTCCAATAACGAGGTTGGAGAGTCAAGCATAAGAGCTCCAGACTCCTTGCTCCGCTACAGACTGGTGAGCGCCCACACGTGAAGGGAGCAGCTGCAGCCTTGACCTCAGCCTCATGCTCGTGGCTGAGATCTCACTAAGTCCAGGGATGCCCTTTCAAAACCACCCCTCCATGGATGGTGACACACTCAATACCACTCAAATGCACACTTCAAAATGGTTGAAATGGGGCACCTGGGTGGCTTAGTCGGTTAAGCATCTGACTTCGGCTCAGGTCATCATCTGGTGGTTCCTGAGTTCGAACTCTGGATCAGGCTCTGTGCTGACAGCTTGGAGCCTGAAGCCTGCTTCGGATTCTGTGTCTCCCTCTCTCTGCCCTCACCCCTCTCGTACTCTCTCTCAAAAGTAAACAAACAAACCAACAAAAAAGGTTAAAATGGTAAATTGTGTGTATTTTACTACTGTTCTACAGTTTTGTTTTTCTTTTGTTTTCTAAAGCCTAACCCTCCAGGAGATGGGGGGTGTAGGCAGGAGGTCCTTCTGACACTCTGCCTCCTAGCAGCACACCCTCACGCTGTCGGAGCTAGGGTGTCCCTGCCTGCTTCAGACCATTCTCTGCATTCCCCACACGGGACTGCAGAGCCGAGTCAGGCACCCAGGACCCCAGCCCTCATTCCCTCCGCCCCTCCCCTCCTAGGACCACCCTTAACCCATTCGTGGCTTTGCACCAATGTGCCTCTACTTCCCAAACCCAAGACGCACCTCCACCACCCAGCCCGCTTGGTGCCTATGCCACCTACCAAGCCGACGTTTACCCCTTGCTCTCTGGCAGCCTCCCACTGGATGTTCCAGCAAGGCCCCTTCTTCCTGGCTCAGCCTGGGCCCCAGACAAGTGCAGGACACGGACACCCTACTGACACTGCCCTTCCTCCCTGTGGAGACAGGGGGCCAGGGAAAACCTATGCTGCAGGAGTACCCACCTATCCACACATCTTCCTAGAAGGGGACAGACTGCGATACCAGAGCCCACAGCACGGCTACCAGTCACTTCCCGGTGCTGGTGGCCCAAGATCCAGACCCAGTGACCATGTGCCCATTGGGCCAACCTCTGCACTAAGGGGGTGGGGATGACAGTTTTCACAACTTGGCCATCAGAAGCTCCCTCCTAGAATAAACCAACCCAAAGGGCTGATGGGCTGATTTTGGTCTCTGAGTTCGTGTGACAGAGCAGCTGAGAGCATGAGAACACCACTAGCCTCTCCTGAGTGTGAGTCGAACTACAACCTGATCCCAAATCAGTAACCCCTGCCTCTGAGGACCCTGTGGCTGCCACGTGGATGCCGTCCAAAGGCCTTTCTTTGTCCTTAAGTAACTCCCGAAGGGGGAACTGCAGTGTGGTTCACTGGAGCCAGGCAGGCTGAGGTTATGCTAACAGCACACTAGACCGGCAGTCCTTCCAGAGAAGTGGATGCAGGATGGGGCACCTCCCTCCTCCCCCGCAGAGCCTGCTGTGGTCTGCACTGAGGGGCGGGGCCGGGCAGCTCAGACCCTCAGAAAGGACACATCCAGCCCAGCAAGCAGACAACTCTACACACCTCACTCCGCTTGGTCAGGGCGGCAAGGCATGTCAGATGCCAACACTCAAAGCGATGTCTAACAGTAGGTCAGGATTTCTGAGGGTGAATAAAGCTCACGGAGAACATCCAGCGTGTCATCAACCATGGAAGGCCATGGTGAAGTCTCTAGAGCACAGGAGGGACAGCAGAGACCCCACCGCAGCAGTAAGGAGGCCGTCTGTCAGATTTATTTATTCCTACTCAACATAACCCCAGAACACAGGAGCAACTCTGTACATCTCTAGAAACTCACAGCTAGCTCCGAAACAATAGAAATTGTAAACTACAAAAGATGAGGTGTATTCAGCAAATATAAAGGGGTACTTTAGGCTGTGTCAAACGTTTAACAGACTATTTACAGGCCCAGATGTAGGCTCAGATCTCGCCAGCCTCCTTCTCCTCCGATCTCCGTGAAGCTGTCTTCCCGTTGGAGCTCTCCAGCCTCCAGTCAGCGGCCCCTCGCTCACTGCGTCCATGCTCCCAAGACTCCTCCCTTGACGCCCGCTCTCTGGAGAACCTGGGAGAAGAGAACCAGAGGCTCAGAGGAGGCTGGCATCCCCCTTCAGGCTGGCTCCTGGGGCGCTGACAACTCGGATCCTCAACACCAGGTTAGGGAAGGCCAAGACCCAGCACACCTGGGGAGGCCCACAGAAGGCCAGAGGGCAGCCGTCTAGGGCCCACGCCACAAAGGAGTGTTAGGCAGACATGAAAAAGTAACATGTGCAGAGGTTTCTCCCAATAGGGTAAGCTTTCGCTTGAGTGTAAATGGAGCAAAAAACAAGAGTGCATATGAGAAATATGACCCGTTATGTAAACGTGATGGAAAAAAGGCTACAATCAGGCACACACAGTGCTTATCTTGAAGTGTGAGTATGAATGGTTTTTAATTTGTTTTTCCTTGGGGTGCCTTGGTGGCTCAGTTGGTTAAGCGTCTGACTTCTCTCAGGTCACTATCCTGTGGTTCTTGAGTTCAAACCCCACGTCGGGCTCTGTACTCACAGGGAAGAGCCTGCTTGGGACTCTCTCTCTCCCTCTTGCCCCTTCTGTACTTGTGCATGTACACGTACATGCTCTCTCTCTCTCTCTCAAATAAACTTAAAAAAAAAAAAAAAAA